CCTACTGCCCAGCTGGGTAATGGGAAGCATTTAATGCCTGGGGCCAGAAATCAGGTGGGGAAGCTATTGCTGCCTGCTCCTCAGACTGGAGACCTCAGTGTGAGGAGAAGACAGAAGCTTTGCCATGCTGCTGCAGTCCATGCCCCAGGACTAGTCTCTGAAGGGAAGGGAACAGGGGAAATGTCCCCACCTCTTTCACAGAACAGGGACTACCTAGTCTGTCAAACAGGTTGGGGACTTTGCCCCCTGTTTCCTCCACTCCCAGGGGCTTGCAGGCATTGGCTTCTATATGCTTTTGGGGGAGATGCTCCCCTGTTGCTTTTTGGCACTTCAGAGCCTTGTACCTGCACCATTTTAAATTGCTGAAATAGGGGAAACACATCCAGAGGCCTGAGCGTTAGGCTGCAGGAACAGGGCCCTGGATGTGAATCCTGTACATGATTACAAATTTTTATTGAAATCAGTAGGGGGCAGAGAGAGGCCTCAGCATTTCAATCGAGGATTGTTTACAACCATGATAAAAATAGAAAATGTTCAATCTTGAGTTCTGACAGTGAGAAGTGAAGCTGTCATCCTATGGATGCATGAGCAAGGTGCAGAAATGGATTCAGAAGAATCAGTTATAGATCAAGAAGATATTTAGCGATTACTCGTCACTGCAGCACTCTAGTTCTTCATTTTTAATCCATGCACTATTTTACTGGCAGATAGCTTTTTTTTTTAATTAATTAAAATAATTATATGCACAAATGCAGACTGGGGAATGGGTTCACTATATTGAAGTACAGCTGAGAAGGACCTGGGGGTTACAGTGGACCATAAGCTAAATATAAACCAACAGTGTACCCATGTCCCCCCAAAAACAGCATATTAAACAAGTCTCTTGCAAATCAAGAGAAATGATTCTTTCATTCTGTTTGGCACTGGTGAGATCTTACCTGGTCCAGTGTTCAGTTTTGGGTCCCGAGAAAGATATGGACACATTGTCACTAGAGATGTGAAAGGTTAACTGATTAGTCATTTAACTGATAAGTGCAGTGATAACCAGCTTGCTTACTGGATATCCTTTAGCTCTGGGTGGGCACAGTTGCTGTGCAAGTGCTGATGGGTGGTGATACAACTCTGCACTAATCAATTAAGCAATTAGCTGCTTGCTTACAGGTGCTCCCTCCCTCTGTCCTAGCGCAGGGCTTCATGTGGAATATGTTCTCTGGTTCAATTTGCCTCCTCCCTGCCTCCCCTCCCAGTCAAAGGGCTCGGGGAGGCAGAGTGGCATCCAGCAGCAGCTGTGACTGACCTGCTGCATTATTGGTTAATCATATAACCTATATAATTACAAGAGGTTAAACAAATATTTTTTAAACTATATTTACATCCTTAATTGTCAGTCTCTTTGGGACTGTTTCCAAAGATTAGAGTCCAGGAAAACATGACTTACAAGGATAAAGAGCTAGGGTCATTTAGTCTGGAGATGAGAAGACAGAGAAGGGATTTGATAACAGTCTTCAAATACCTGGAGGGTTGTTAGACAGAGGATTGAGATGGGCTTTTCTGTGTGGCTGTAAGGGACAAAACTAGGAACAGTGGACTTGAGCTCCAGCAGAGAGAACCTAGACTGGAGTGGAGGAAAACTTCCTGATTATGAGGGGGTTCAAGCATTGGAACAGTCTACCTAGACAATCTCTATCCCTGGAAAATTTCAGGAGCAGGATAGAGACAGACGTGGCTTGGGTTGGTGTAGTCAGAGATATAGTTTCATAGTTGATAGGGTTGGAAGGGACCTGAGCAGATCATCAAGTCCGACCCCCTGCCATGGCAGGAAAGAGGATTTGGGTCAAACCACCCCAGCAAGGTGTTTATCCAGCCTCCTTTTAAAGACCCCCAGGGTAGGAGCCAGCACCACTTCTCTTGGAAGTTGGTTCCAGATCCTAGCCGCCCTGACCATGAAGTAGCACTTCCTGATGTCTAGTCTGAATCTACCTCCTGCCGGCTTGTGACCGTTATTTCTAGTCACACCTGGTAGTGCTCTGGGGAACAGGGACTCCCCCAATGCCTGCTGGTCCCCCCTGACTAGCTTGTAAATGGCCACTAGATCCCCCCTCAGCCTCCTCTTGTAGAGGCTGAACAGGTTCAGGTCCCTTAGCCTCTCCTCGTAGGGCCTGCCCTGCTGACCCCTGATCATGCGGGTGGCCCTCCTCTGGACCTTCTCCATGTTGTCCAGATGATTCTGCCTTGAGCAGGGGCTGGACTACATGACCTCATGAGCAGGGATCCTGATTTTCTCTCATAACAAATTGCAAATTCTCTGATTTAAAACCCCACAAATCTGTGATTTAAAATGAAAGGCCTCCACAGCCCCCCACCACATCTGCTCCCCCAGCCCTGCAGGAGGGGTCTCCTAGCTGCCAGCGCTATGGAGCCAGGAACCTGAGTCTGCAGCACCCTTCCCCTGGCACATGAACAACGTATGCCCCCAGCGGCTGCGGGGGCACAGTGGTGGTGGTGGGAGCACAGCAGCAGGAAGGGGGAGCCCCTGCCGATGCCACCAGTGCTGTTGTGGGGGTGGGGGAGGGCATGGTAAGCGCCAACTGGGGGTTGGTGACCACCTGCAGATGCCGTTGAAGGTGACCAGCAGCAATCGCAGACTGCCCGCAGATGATGCTGGTGGTAGGGTGACGAACAGCGATCGCACGCAGACACCACCAACAATGTTGATGGCGCCATGTTTAGGGGCTGCACGTGCACCTACGTGCACCCCCTATGCAGGGGGCGGTGCACCCCCCGGCAGGGGGCGGTGGCTGCTGCAGAGGGGTGGAGCCTGGCTCCACTCCTCACTACCTGTTGCCTGCCTGTTGTGGGCTCAGGCAGGGTGGGCCAGCTCCCCGCCACTGCGTGCACCCCTGGAGGGTATTGGGGACCCGTGCCTCCCAGATCTGTGCACAGGGCTGCGCGCTGCCTGCTTCAGGCTCATGTTTCTCATCTTGCTGCCCTCCCCCAGGTCTCCACAGCCCGGCATGTGCAACCCAGAACTGCAAAGAACAGTGGAGCCATGCAGGAAGCTGCCTGCCACTG